ACTGTCTACAACTCCAGTTCCAGGGGAGTTGACACCCTCACACAGACATGAATGCAGGCAAAACACCAATGCACATAAGATACAATAAATTATTAAAAAATATTAGGCAGTGGTCGGGAATTAAAGTCATGAATAGAGACCCACAAGGAAGAACGGGTCATTATAAACACATGGATCAAAGGATAATGGACTTAAGAATAACTTTCAGGTCATCATAGTATAGGGATCCTTGCAAAACTCATTGAAAATTACCTTTATTTATTACGTGTGTGTGTACATGCACACGTGCCACGATACAACGATACAAGCGTGGGGGTCAGGCAGCTCACAGGTATTGGCTGTGTTATCCTGCCACATGGGTCTCAGCTACTGAGCTCCGGCTGTCAGGCTTGGTCACAAGCACATCTCGCCTGCCCACCTGACAAAGCCTGAAAGTGACAATGGCCTGCCAGGGACCTTGGCAGGTCCCTTAACTTGGGCTCTGCTGTAAAGTGGCCAAGTCCCTTCCTCCCTAGACATCAGCTCCTGTTTGCTTTTCTCTAAGACACTTCTGTCAAGAGGAGTGCGCTCCTATTCCAGAGAGGCGAGTGGTAGCATGTTGTTAAAACCCCCTGAGAAACTGTCTTTACCGAGAGGCGGCATGATGACGGTGTAATTCTAAGTTTCACACAAAGAAACAAAGGCCATCAGTCGAGTGGAGAGAAAGCACAATGCACAACTCAGCAGCAACGGGTAGGCATCTGAGAAGAAAAGGACGAGCAGACAGGTACCAAGGCCAGCACCGCACACAGGACTGCACCACAGGGCCACATGGCAGAGGCAGTAACTGGCCAGCTCGCTTCTTCTCTGTGGCTGTTCTACCACTCCAGCAGTTCCTGCAGGGGACGGTCAACTTCCTAGATAAGTGTTCTCCTGGCTTTGGTTATGGTTTAAGTGGGACGTGTCTCCCAAAGGGACACGTGTTTGAATATTTGGTCTCCAGCTGGTAGAGCTGTTGTGGAATGCTATGAAACCCTCAGGAGGCAGAGCTCAGTTGGGAGGCGTTGATAAGTGGAGGTGGGTACTTCTTATCACTCTCTCTGCTTCCGGTAGGTGTCTGCGTCCTGGTAGTTGCTACACACTTTCCCTGCTACAGAGTCCATCAGCTGCCACACCTTCTCACCCTGTGCAGTCCCCACCATCAGTCCAGATAATGCTTCCCACAGGCCCCTTCCATCACACTGGTTTGTTACAGTGACTTCAGGGAGTGGGTGGGATGGGTGCTCGACACAAGGCCAGCTCTCTGCCAGCACTCTAAATACCCAAGGCAGAACTCTGAGTTCACTCTATGGGAGCACTTGAATTTATACCCCATTAAAGTTCTTGTTTGAAAATCATAAGCTGAAGCCACATCTAACAGTCACGACAGTCTCTGGTTTCCCCACACATACTAAAAATGGAAAATTCATTTATGGGTTTCACAGAACCCATAAAAAAAATGGCTTCAGTTAAAATATCTAGTCTTTCCTTACAAAGTAAATGATTTTCAGGTGTTTATAACACACCCTCTATGTTTATCGTCTTTTATAAACACTGGGCATGCTGAGAAGAGTTTCTTGTGTCATGAGAAAGATCAGCACGGGCTGGAGGCCTAGGTCTTTCTCTGTGGCATTTGCTTTTAGTTTCAAATTTAAGTCTGATGTTTTTCTTTTAGAACCAAGGTCAAGACAGGATGACTGCTCAGTCATTTTCTTCCTAAAGTTATTGTAAGTACCATTAGGAGGCTTAAATCATCCTAAAAATGCTGCTAAATCTTATGCAAGTGACTTAACACAGACTGACGAAACAATAAAAACTGTGTCCATCAGTGACAAGTATCTTGTTAGCTACCCTGCTTACAAATCTCAGTGACCTCAGACCAGCCACGCGACAGTGACCTTTGAGGAGAGGCAGTCTTGGTGCCCACCAGAGTCAATGCATTCTTGCAAACTGACCTATGTTCTTGCCAAAAGGCCCTAGGGACCCACCCAACCTCAGGGGTGTGCCAAACAACCTCTAAGGCACTTCTCTCCATGAACACCTAAAAAAAGTACTCATCGATTGGGAATGAAGACATTCTGAGATAACCAAAGCTGATCACAAGAAGCAGAGGATCTGGGGCAATACACTGAAACATGCAACAACACGAAACATTAATCTTCCCACCCCCACCAAAGCTCTCAGTCTTTGGTAGGCAAGGCATCAGTCATAGTCACGATGGGACTTCTTAGCATTGACATTTCTGTTCATCTGTCACCAGCCACAAAACAGCAACAGTAACAAAAACCAAGTGATAATAGTTTCCAGTCTCTAGATTTGGTTGCATAAGTGACCCTGGGTGTGATCACCTCGATGAGCACACCAGTCAATCAACAAACATTTGGGCCACGGCAAGTAAGGCAGGATCAAAGTTCAACAGGAACAGCTCAGACAGCTGTGTTCCTGATACAGATCAGTGTGATCATGAAGTCACGTCAGACATACTGCTGAGATCTGCCATCATTAAAGGGGTCTAGTGCTTGATAGGAAGGGGACCCTGGACTTGTTTTGCTATTTATGGAATATCCTTAGGGAACCTCTGACATGAATATAAGGTTTGAGGGTCCTCAAGTCACCAAGAACTCTGTAAAAATTCTAGGATCTCCTATGGAATACAGGTATTTCTCTGCATTGTGCCTGGAGGTCTTTGGAAGGTTCTGTAGAAGCACAGCACAGTCCAGTCTTGCGGTACCTGGGAAGCCGAAAGGGAATCCTGCCTTAGGAAACCTCTGTAGCAGCCCCCAGGCTGTCCACATCCTGCTCCAGCTTTCTGACTGTCCTTCCCTTCATGGACTCCCACAGAACCTGTGCACTTAGGCCATCTCTGGATCCACACCCTCTTTCTCTGGAATGCCCCTCCCCCAATTTCTCTTCTCTTCTTTTTTTTTGGGGGGGGGGTTTTTTTCGAGATAGCGTTTCTATATGTAACTTTGGCTGTCCTACAACTTGCTCTGTAGACCAGGCTGGCCTCAAACTCACAGAGATCCACCCTCCTCTGCCTTCTGAGTGCTGGGATTAAAGGTGTGGGCTGCTGCCACAGCCACCACCATCTGGCTCCTCTGCTTTCCTAGTTCCTGCATAAGGCTTCACTCACTGGTCCCCCACCAGGAGCTCCTCTCTGTGCTCTGAACTGCCTCACGTGCTCTCGGTCTCTTGACTGCTCCTCACCCTTTAACCTGGACAGCAGCATCTCTTTGCACTTGCTACCTCTTTTACAACTGAACAGTGCCAAGCCCACAGTGCTGCTCCTCCTGATATCTGTATTTCTAGCAGCTCTCCTAGTAACTTCACAGGTTTGAAGGTGGATTTTCTGCAACTCTAGGGTCTCAGTGAGGCATCCGAAGACCAATTAATGGGGGAAGTGTGTGGGAGGGCTGCCTTTTCATTTCTCTGCTTTTAAAAAATATTTATTAAAAAAACAAAAAAGATTATTTTATTTGTGTGTGTGTGTGTATGTGTGTGCACACAAGTGTGCATGTGCACATGTATGCACACACCCCCACATAGGCCCACAAGGTGTTAGATCCTCTGGAGCTAGAGTTACAGGCAGTTGTGAGCTGTCTGACATTGGTGCTGGGAACTGACCTTGGGTCCTGTGCAAGAACAGCAAGGGCTCATAACCGCTGAGTCTCCTCTCCTGTAAAAAGGATGCTGAATGCTAGATAGAAATGTAGCAGATGTCAAATAAATGGAGAGAGTGATCACTGGTGCCTCTGTGACTTTCTCCTCCAGACAGAAAGGGATTCTCAACCAAGAAGGGTGGTCAAAAGACAAAAGAAAGGTCCTTCCTCCCGTGTCCTGACTTTGGATTTGGGGGCTGCTGGGGATTAGACCATGGGCCACTGTTGTAGAAACTATATTATTTGATATATTATATTATTTGAATCACTGCTTGGCCTGTTAGCTCTAACTTCTTATTGGCTTACATCTTAATTTAACCCATTTCTATTAATCTGTGTATCGCCACGATGCTGTGGTTTACCAGGTAAAATTCTGGTGTCTGTCTCTGACAGGGCTACATGGCTTCTCCTGACTCGGCCTTCTTTCTCACAACATTCGGTTTAGTTTTCCCCGCCTAGCTAAGTTCTGCCTGCTATAGGCCAAAGCAGTCTCTTTATTTATTAACCAATAAAAGCAACACATAGACAGAAGGACCTCCCACACCAGGCTACATGCATGGCAAGCATGGGCTCCGGCATTGACGTAACCACCCCAGCCCTTAACCGAGCTTTCTGCACTGAAACTCCATAGGCACCTCACCAAGCTCCGCATTATCCTCTAGTATAAACAAAACTTCAGGGCACCTGGTTCTGCGGTGCGTGTGTACCTGAGCCCACTCCCCACTATGATCTCAGTATAACTCTGGGACATGAGAGCGCTATTGGAGATACTGAGGTCTCCTGTTTCTCCTGCTTCCCATCTCAAGCACAGAGGATGTGCTGTCCCTTCAGACACAGCACTGTCTCTACAAGTGAACGACGCCATTTCTCTGACTTCCTCTTCCCTCCTCTCTCCATACTCACTTTGTCTGTGAATATTGCTGGTCTGCCTACAAGCCACATTCCAAACCTCACGTCTTCGGGTCGCCTATCACTGACAGCTGCTACAGTTTGGACACTGTCACTTATAACCTGTTACGACTGTCCCTTTCCTGGCTACCTAGCATTCCCGTCTCATCCCTGTAGTTTGTTTTCTAGGCAATAGCAAGTCAAGCGTAAAGATCCGCCATTAGAAGCTCTCAGGGTTTCCCGCCCAACATAGAACAGGTCTATCACCCGCCCAATGAAGTAGCTGGGCTAGCATCCATATTTCACTCCAAATCAAGTACATTTATTCATTCTGACGATCTTGAATAGGGAACTCTCTTAAAGAAAATAAATGAGCTGATGACTGGCCGGACAGAAGAAGGACAGGCACACCATTCACACCCAGAAGTGACTTACGGCTTCAGATTTGGGAGGCACTGGAGGTGGAGGTAGGGCGAGTTCTGAAGACTTCATTGTGGCTCCCAGGGTCGCAGGGGAAGGGAGAGAAGTTGCACATTTGGACCGCGTGGAGCTTCTCAAGGGGTCACACCTGCTCTTCTCACTGAGGGAGCGAGTGAGAGGCTGGTGGCTAGGCTTGCCTTCCTCCAGCCACAGCTCTTCGTAGGGAAGGTCCGCCTTCCCTGGGATGCCCCCCGACTCCTCACTAGCTTCTGGGAAAAGGTAGTCACTCCCGCTGTCGCCAGAGTCTTGATAGGGAAGGAGGTCATGAGGAAAAGGAGCCCATTCTCCCCCAAGGTCCCTGCAGCCATGGAGGTTCACCTCACTGTTGCCGTGAAGATTGTTGCCATATACGCAGACTGAGAGTCGGTGGAAGGACTGGGTGAGCTCATCGCGGGCATAGCTGAGGGAGTTGGGTAAGTGGTTGTGGCCAGAGCAACGGCCCTTTTTGGGGCTCTTGCAGTCTTCATTCCAGTCTGTTTTCACGTCGCGCACAGCCCGCGAATACTCATCGATGTCAAACTGCTCTTGGCAGATGCCCAGCCAGTGATGGACTAGGGTTTCCGGCCACACCTCTCCCTTCACCAGGTGCTCTGGGAGGCTGAACTTGGGGACAGTCAAGTGCAAAGGAAAGTGCATGGGGAGGATCTTGTTGTTCCGGAGCACACAGCACACCACCACCGTCTTGGTCTGGATGTTAACGAACTTGTAGCGGTGTCCCTCTCTGATGAAGTGAAGGTCATAGGGGTTTCTGGGTGGCGGACTGGGCACTGTCACATTCACGGGGAGCCTAGTCTTCTCCACGATGTTTCGGATAGTGTGTTCCCCTTCCTGCATCTGAAGCTCCAGGGGACTTCGCGTGCTAAACCTGCCCTTGCATTGGAATGGAAGGCTGATACTTTCATTGGTCCGGTGGTTCATGCAGATGAGGCAGGGCATTTTGCCTTTCCCCAGCTTGCTGATGGAGTTGAGTTTCCCAATCTTTTTGAAAATTGTGTTGAGTCGCGACTTCTCCTTGAAGGTCTTTGCATAAAGGATTTCTGCCTGCCCCATTAGGGTGAGCTCATCCCCAGTACACAGGGTGATGTTGTAAACTTCCGTGTCTTCATTGCATTCGCCGGATGCAACCTATGACATGATAAACCGAATTCCATGTTAGTGAGGACATACACACAGGCGAATGCTATGCTTCACTTTAATTCTAAATGCGGATGGTTCAGTTTTATTGACATGGCTGACAACAGCCACATTTTTCTTATTTGTCACATATATTTATTTTAGAGAGGAACTGGAGTAAATGCTGCCGAAAACTTTCTTGTTCTAAACTAGCGTTTTATTTATTCTCTGACAATTTCACACCCTTCTACACACATCTTGTAGAAGCAGAGTCTCCTCTGTTTTCTTCTTCTCTCAGCCCCTGTCCCTCTCAAGTCGCTCTTCTTCCCAGTATGTTCTCTCCTACTTTCTTGTCTTTTAAAGATTTTAAATAACCCACTGAGTTAGCTGGGCTTCCCTCATGTGAATGGGTGTGGGGCTAGTTACCGGATCATGGATGGTTTATCAGTGGCCATACGCCTGAGGAAGATAACTCCCCTCCTCCAACAGTCATTAACTACCAATACCCCTCAGTTGAAAAAAGCAAGCTTGATGTAAGACAACATTAATTTAGGTTTTAATTTAGTTTATCATTGTTTTTTACCTTGATCTTTTTGAGATGTGGCCTTACACAGCTGAGGCTGGCCTCAAATCGACCAGGCAGCTGGGGCCACCTTCGGCCTCTAGCTCCCAAGTGCCCTGATTAAAGGCACATGCCAGCACTCCACTTTTACATTGGATTATTAAAACAGCTTTACCCCATAGACAGAGAGAGGTTTACTTGATGGATAATTATTTTGGAATATTAACATTATTTTTTTTGCCACTACAAATAACATTTCCATAAACACTGTAGAAAAAAATTCATTTTGGAATTTAAAATTTTATTAAAGTTTACCTGTTAAAAATCTCCTAATAAATAGGTTTTTAAAATTTGGAACTGAGACAAAGGATTACAAAAATTTGTGTGTTTTACTAGATATTGAACCTGGGCTTTGAGCAAGCTAAACAACTGGTCTATCACCAAGCTATACCCCAGATCCTTAAAATGCTGTATTTCTCCATTAAAAAATTATTATGCAAGGCATTCATATTTATTGGAAGAAATACAAAACATAAAAATAACACAAACCTATATTACTTTCTTACTTCATATCATCTGTCAAAAATCTTACATAAATAGAAAAAAGAAATGGTATGTATCAGTTATCTCAGGGACTTGCAAAGCCACACTCTTGAGTTTCCAACTGTAATCTCTCCATTTTCCCATGTGCATACCTCACTAGTAATAACTGTCATCTAATACATTTATTTATCATGCAACGATGGCTTTCCTTTGTTTTGACCAGTTTCTTTTTGTTGGAAAAGTGGTAGTTTTCCCCACATTTAGCAATTATAAATAGTACTGCAATGAGAACTTTCACAGATCAATGACTTCCATAGGAAGCAGCAACAGAATCAGAACTGTGGGGGCCATAGCTGTGAAATGGGACCTTTGCTTCCCAAGCATGTTGTGCTTACCCATCACCAACCCGAAAGAAAAGCCTGCATCCTTATTTACTGATTCAGGTTTTGTGTTAAGAGCTTTGACTATTAGTAAGTTGATGCTTGGGGTATTAACTCATCTCTTTGTCTATCTCTGTCTTCCTCCCTCCCTCCCTCCCTCTCTCTCTTGACAGGGTTTCTCTGTGTAACAGCCCTGGCTGTCCTGGAATTCACTTTGTAGACCAGGTTGACTTTGAACTCACAGAGATTCTCTGGTCTTTGCCTCCCTATTGCTATGATTAAAGGCGTGTGCCACCATGCCTGACTCTTTAGGTCTCTTCTTAGGGATTCTTTTTTTTTTTTAATGTAAAATCAATGAATTTCATACTATATAGTTTTGACTGTTCCTCTGTTTTAATTTTGTGGTTTCTTTAAATGATTTTTTCTTTTTTATAAAAACATATAGACAGTATTTCCAGAATTGTCTTTTGTGATTTACTCTGGGGCAATATGTTTCTAGCTGAGACAGAGACCAAAGGTTTTAAACCAGGGTGATTTTACAAACCTCCCAGGAGACGGTGGCAATTTCTGGAGACATTTTTGTTGCCATGATGAGGGGAGCTGCTTTTCATATCTCTGGGCACAGTTCAGGGTACTCCTAAGCACGAACAATACATAGGGCAGCCTGGTGCCCTGACCCCCTGAAAAGATTACCCAGTGCAAAATTTCAGTCGCACTCAAGTTGGGAGTTGCTAGTGCGATTACCAACATTGCTGGCCTGCATGTGGATGGTTTCATTTCCTACTAAATTTATTTCACTGAATTCTCTTTGGTGGATTATGCAATATAGGGATCTAACTTTATTTTTAAAGTAAATACAGTACCTAGTATATTTCCTAAGTAATATTCTATTCATAGCTGAAGTGCCACCTTTAATATGTGTTAAAATTCACAAAACAAGTACTTAAAGGTCTGTGAACACATCCCTATTTTGAGGACATATATCATAGTTATCCGGCTTACCAGAGTTATACTGTTTAACTTCCTGTATCTTTCCAATCACTTCATTACATTCGATAACAAATCTCTTTGTTATTCTGACTCAAAATCTCCACCGAAGCTGTCAATCAACTGTCACCCTCGATAGTTGTGAGTTAGAAGTGGGCTGGCCTCACTTCAAGAGTTGTGGTCCTGGGGTGGTGTGCGTGTTGCTGCTGTTTTGCTAAAGGAACAGGGTGTCAAACTTCTCTGCCAATATTTACATTCATACCCATAGATTAGTGTTGCCATCAGCCTCGGTCAGGGAAGTTTCTGTTTGCAATGGACAGCAGCTAGTATAGAGACGTATAACTTGGCAAGTGCTGAGAATAAGTAGCTGTTGAGTGCCCGGCCTTAAATGGGGCGTCTATATCACTTCATTCAGCACGCTGGTACACTGCAGAAGAGGGAGGTGGAAAAACACTAAGAACTGGAGGGTGAGGAGGCCATGACCTGGTCCTAACTAACGTCCATGAACTTACAACAGCAGTGTTTACCTGCACAAGACCTGTTCAAGACAGGGCTCATCACCCTTCCCTTAGGGATGAGGGAGGAGTACCTACAGCCTTATCCCTCTCTGAAGAGCAGTTAAAAGATTGCAGGGGAAAAGGGGTCAGGGTCCTCAGTGGTGAGGTCACGAGCAAGTTGCCTTTGCTCAAGTAAATCATATCACCTGTGCTCAAGCAGGCGCCCTTAACTAAATGCAATAGATCACCACAGTAGAAGGGGGACTTGTCACAAAGAAGGAGTACAGTGTGAGTGGACAAGAAAGAATGGCGAGATATCATCAAAGTATATGACATATGTATGTTCAATATGGCCATGGCCAACTGGAGAATCTAATCCAGACTGAGCTGCTCTGGCCACTGCAGAAACCATGTTTCTTTTCTAAGGGAAAGTCAGGGGGCTGTTTTAGTCGTTACTCCAGACACTAGTGACCCTAGGAGATATTATTTCTACTGTGATAGCCGTTCCTGATGCCCACACCCATGACTTCTCGCAGATGACGCCTGTGCAGACTGGCATGACTGTGCAGAAACGCTGTGGTTAGCAAACAGAAGGCTGCGCACATGTGTGACTGGATATGTCAACAGCCCTGCTCAATCTCCCGGAGTCAGTTAGGGAGACCTCCCTCTTCCACACTGCTTCTCCACCCCCGACAGGCCGTGGGTTGCAGTCGCGATCGCAACAACTTCTTTTGGAGGCTTCAATGCCTACTATGGTCCTTTATCGTGGGTAGACCAAGACGAAGCTTGTGATGGAACAAATGGCCAACTCCTGTGGTCCCAGACAACAGATAGGGAAGAGAGACTCCAAAGACCTGAAACAAGGCTGAGGGCAGTGCCAAGATGGCAAGAAGCTGAGGAAGGTGAGCACTGAACAAAACAGCTGGCGTCAGCAGCTGGAAAAGCTCTAGGTAGGGGCTGTAAGTTGAGCAGCAGGAGTGGCTGCCAGGGCTCCTAGGATTAGCTGCCGAGAGTGCTGGTCTGCTGTCATTCAAAACTAGAAAGTGGCTCACAGCACGGGAGATCCACATGGCCTGCTTGTGAAATCCCCCAAACAGAGCAAAAGAACCCTCTACTGACTGCAGTGAGTCCAGTAAAGTTCAATGAAAGAACAGAGAGGATGCATTCAGCAAAGGCGAAACGCAAAGGATTGTGGAGAACGTTCTCCTTTGCCTAGGAAATGGGGCTTATATTTTCTGTTTATTCATTTATTTACTGTTTTTTTTAAGAAAAGAAGAAACATAAAGAAAAAAGAAAACAATAAAATGAGTTATTTTTCAAGAGGGGATGGGGAGGATTAGGGTAGAGGGAAGCTGGCGAAAGCAACAGCTGGGACAGCCTTCCCAAGTTTCGACCTTCAGATGCTACACATTCAAACCAGCTAAGAAATACTGTGTTTCTTTTAGAAAATTCTGTTCTTCACAGCAGAGAAGTTGAGTAGAATCCAAGTGAGTTGACGTCATGTGCATTGTAGAACAAAATAAGTAAGTGTGTGGATGTTTGGAGTCACGGAGATGCCTCAGTGGCTTAAGGTGCCCGTTATTAAGCCTGATGACCTAAGTTTGATTCCAGGAACCCATGTGGTGGAAGGAGAGAAGTGACCCCTGCATGTTTCCTTCTGAGCTCCACACATGCACTGTGGTGAGCAGGTCTCTACACACATACAAATAACGTAATGCTATTTGCTGCAGAGTTTTGCTATGGAAGAAGAGGTAGAAATAACATCATGAAAAGCAAGAAGTGTGAAAAAGAACTTCTTACAGGCTGGTTTAGAATTGGAGTTATCAGAAGAAATATGTCTATAAAGCCTCTGACAAAAGAACACTCAGACACCCATACATACATACATACATACAGACAGACAGACAGACACTGGCACACATATCCAGTCTCTCTATCTCTCTCTCTTTCTCTCTCTCATTCTCTTTCCTTATATCCAAAACCCAGCACCCAATAAAAACCAGGATTCGTTGAGGAAACAACGATTCTGGGGTGAGCTGGGGG